CATACACTCTTATCTAATTTTAGTCTCACAACACCCTTGTGGTATAGGTAAGATAGAGATTATCATCGTCACTTGACAGAAGAAAAATGAGTCTCAAAAAGAGGAATTTACTTTCCCAAGGTCACACAGTAGGTTCGTGGATGTCCAGGAATTAGGACCCAGACCTGCTGATTCTGAGGCCAGTGCTTTTTCTACCTTATTTAGCTCTGGGGCAGTGGGCCCAGAATCCTGGGGTTGGCATTGTCCTTCAAAATGTGCTGCCCAAAGGAAGCCCTCTGGCTGGTTCCTGGGGATGGGTGTTGCCTTGAATTGGGGAATGTGGGTGGATCAGCCCCACCTCCTTTGCCTGAGCTGAGAGCTATTATTCCTTCACAAGTGTCTGTCAGCGCTGTCTCAGGAACATACAATGCAGGCAGGCAGCTTGGCTCAGCCTTGACATTTTCTGCAAGTGGGCTGGGGAGGTGGGGAGTGGGACAGTACTCCTGGGAGAGGTGGGTGGGAGCACTCCGAGTTCATCTCAAGAGTGAATCTGTAAAGTGGAAATCTCAAGTTGGGGGCCCTCATGCCCCTGTCAGGTCCTCCTCTTTCTTGCTAAATACTCATTGGAGAGGGGCTTGGGGTGGTCTAAAAGTCACTAGATTAAAGCTCCAAGAATGTCCAGCCTGCCCAGTTCTGCTGTTACCTGGCAGGTTTGGACTTCCCCGACTTGCTGAGAACCCCAGCTCTGATCGTGCAGCATTGTGAGCACCTAAGGAAGTATTGTACAGTAGAAAGCGCACCTGGCTGGGAGTTCTGACCCTGACTCTGCCCTTCACTTGCTATGTCTGTCTTTAGGCAAGTTATTCCCCATCCCCTCCTGGTGAGTCTCATCGTCTATTAAGTGGGACATCTGGTCAAGAGGAGGCCCTCTAATGTCCCTTCCAACTCTTAACATTCCACATTTGAAGGTTTTTCCTAGCTCTGGCATTCTGTGCTCCAAGGTCTTCTTCAATTCTGACATTCAGTGTTCTAAGGGCCCTCCCAGCTCTGACGTTCTGTGTTCTAAGGTCTGTCCCAGCTGACGTTCTGTGTTCTGAGGCCTCTCTGAGCTCTGACATTCTGTGTTCTAAGATCCCTTGATCCCCTAGTATTCTGTGTTCTGAGGCCCCCATCTCTTACAGTCTGTGTTTTAAGGGTCCTTCCAGCTCTGACATTCTGTGTTCTAAGGTCTCTCCCAACTCTGACATTCAGTGTTCTAAGGGCCGTCCCAGCTGACATTCTCTGTTGTAAGGCCCCTCCCAGCTCTGCCATTCTGTGTTCTAAGGCCCCTCCCAGCTCTGCCATTCTGTGTTCTAAGGCCCCTCCCCACGCTGGCATTCTCTCTTCTTGTGTTCCTTCACAGTTCTAACATTTTATGCCTATTTCAGTGGTATCCAGCATCATCTGATGTTTGACCCCAAAGCTCACCAAGTGTACAGGCATTCAGAAGGCAGCTCAGGGATGCCCCTGGCAGAGCATGATCCCTGCTGCATTAAGCTGTCTGAGTGACAGAGGGCAGAAAGTGGCTCTTACTCTCCCCTGAGCACTCAGCTGGCTTGGCTTTTCAGCCAGCTGGGTAATCCTCCTGAGTAACCTCTTCCTTGCTCATGGTTTTTTGAGTGCCCTTACCTCCCTGACCCTACCCCCTCCCTGGGCTCCAGCTCCTGGAGCTGGCAGCTGTGCCAGGGGAAGGGATGACCCAGCCGTGACTGGTCTATTGTCCTGCTGTGGGAACTCCCCTGCCCCCTCAGGGTGTCTTCTTAAGGCTGCAGTGTCACAGGACCTGTGAGACATCTTCCCACAGTCCTTGGGGTGGGAGGGAGTGGCAGGGAATGGGGTGAGGTGGGGGGGAGAGAAAGGGTTACTGTGAAACTTGATCTAAAGGCTACATGGTACATAGGAAAGAGCCCTGAACAGGGAATCAGGAGAGCTGGTCAGATTCCAGTCCTGTGTCACTCTGTGTCAGGCCCAAGGTCAAGGTCTCTCTCTGGAGCTCAGTTTCACTATCTAGAAAATGGATATGATGATCCTATTATTGCATCTGACCCCACCCCAAGGAGAGCCCCAATCTCAGTATCCCCAGGATAGAGGACAAATCCAGAGACCATTCATTCCCATTTTGCCACGGGAAAATCTAGGCAAAGGTGGAAAACTCTCACCAGCCAAGTCCTCACCAGATCTAACTGGTCAGTCAGGCTGCCAGGACACCACTCTGGGCCCCTCTTGGCCTTCAGAGGTTTGGACTTAGAGGAGTAGCAGTAGAAGAGGATGGGGCAGGGAGATCAAGAGGAGGGGTCTGTCAGGGAAATCTAGTGCGGTGGAAAGAGGACTAGGTGTAAGTCAGCAGGCTTAGATTCGAATCCTGTCTTGGCTATGTATCTGCTGTGAAAGCAAGACTTTCAACATCTCTGGGCCTATAAAATAAAAATTTCTGAAAAAGATTCTGGAAAAGGCCCCTTTGAGTTCTACGTCCTGTTCCCCCAGGAACTTGGAGATGCTTCTGCTCACTGTGGCTAACACTGCCTTCCTGTGAGAAGCCTCAGGTGGAGGGAGGTTTTTGTGCCGAAAACTAAATGTGGACTGACTAGAAAAACCTAGAGAGGGAAATCTGGACAGAGTGACTGTGGAGAACCCACCTTCAACACCTTGTGATCCAGTGCCTGCCTGATGCTAGAATCCTTCTCGTCAGCATCTGCTATTGGACTGTATAATATAGTGGATAACTACTGACCTTGGACTCAGGAGGATCTGAGCTGGAATGTGACCTCAGACACTTCTTAGCTGGCTGTGTGGCTTTTGGCAAATCACTTAACCTTTCCGAGCCTGGTCCTGGAAGTTAAAATAGGGATAAGGACAGGTAGGATGACCCAGGTTGGGCTGGCGTGGAGGGCATCATGAGAGGGAGCTCCTGAATCAGCTCCATCCCAGACCCACTTGAGTAGACAGGGTAATGTATGGACAGGGCTTTGGGACTTTCGAAGCTGTGGTTGTTATGGTGATTGTCATTCCCAGTGTGGCCATCCAGTCTCTAATGAGAGAGGGAGCATTTCCTGAGGGAGTCCTAGGGATGTTGCAGAGAGGATTGGGGTTGGGTGGGGACCAGTCATCTCTTTCATCATAAGGTCATAAATCTAGAGCTGGTCATATATAGTCTAACCCCCCTTATTATATAGATAAGACAACTCAGGGAAAGAGAAGAATGAAAGGAAGGGAGCAATCATATCTTAAGCTCCTACTGTGTGCCAGGCACTGTGCTAAACACTGCACAAATATTATCTCGTTTGATCCTCATAGCAACCCTGCAAGGTTATTCTTATTTACAGTTGAGGAAACGGAGGCAACAGAGGTTAAGTGACTTGCCCAGGGTCATATAGTCAGGACATGTCAGAGGCTAGATTTGAACCCAGACCTTCCTGACTCCAGGCCCAGAGCTCTATTCACTGCATCACCTAGCTTTCTAGATGGTCTAGGGCTAGGCAGCACAGCTGTAAGAAAGCTGTAAAAAATCCTATAACTAGGATTTTTTTTCCCTTGGGCAAATATTACAAAGTACAATGAGGGCAAAGGTGGGAGGTGGGGGTGGAGGACATTCTGGGACAGGTGTGTCAGTCTGCTTCTGGGGAGGCTGACAGAGGGAGGTGAAAGGGAGAAGGTGGGGAGAGGAGGGAGGTATGGTAGATAAAGTGACAGGGTGCACTTGGAATCAGGAAGACTTGAGTGCAATCCTGCCTCAGACACTTCTTACCAGGGGTGTGAACCTGGGCAAGTCACAAGGCCCAGTTTGGGGGCTTCGGTTTCTTTATCTGTGGAGGATGGACTTAGTAACTTCCGAGGTCCCTTCTAGATGTAAATCAGGGTCCCTGGACTTTTAAAAAAATATATTTTGATTATTGTATTTCAATATAGTCGATTTGCCTTTGGAATCTTATGTATTTTATCTTATACCTTTAAAAAACAAGGGTGTCCCTCCCTTCACCACAATGCCTCAGGGGTCCAAGATGCAGAAGAGGTTCAGAATCGATACTTATACCCGTGATTCTCTCTGATCTTAATGTCTTGAAGTTATGTAAGTGTTAGCTATTGTTGTCTGGCATTGTTAAACTGTTTTAAATAATTATTCTTGGGGGCAGCTAGGTGGCGCAGTGGATAGAGCACTGGTCCTGAAGTCAGGAGGACCTGAGTTCAAATGTGACCTCAGACCAAACACACGCTTGACACTTACTAGCTGTGTGACCCTGGGCAAGCCACTTAACCCCAATTGCCTTTAAAAAAAATTATTCTTGCTAATTAGGTGCTAAGCCTGGTAACCCCTGCCCAAAGGGGGCTGCAAATGGCCCTATAAATTCAGCATCCTGGGACAGAGTTCTGATGACCCTGCCCTAGTGAAGACCCTACCAACTGGTAAATGTGCCCCTGGGGCTCTTTGTACAACGTTTTAGGTGCAGAAACGGAGGCCCAGGGATTGGGGAGGGGCCAGTTGGAAGCCTTGGCTCCAGGCTGGGCACTGCTTCCTTTCTCCCTCACCCCAAGCTCTGGGAAACACAGCCCTTTCACTTGGAAGTGGGCATCTCCCCAAACGCTTGGCTGGCTCCCTCACTGGAAATTCTAGCAAGGCTGCCCTTCCCCGTCAGTGGCCCTCTCCCTGCCCCCGCCTGGCCTGGAAAGAAAGCCTCAGTGTTGGGCGGGAGGGGGCACGTTCCTGGGACCCTGAACAAGGCTGCCCATTCTCTGGCCAGCAACCCCCACCCCCCCTGAGCAGCTGGGACATTCCTGGGCTGCACTGTGCGGAGCAGAGCTGCCCGGCCTGAGAACAATCCTAGCTTGTGGAGCTACCGGGCTGGGAGGCCTCTGTCCCAGCCACGTCTCCTCCCACCTCCTCTCCCCTACGCCCCCTCCCCCACTCCCAGCTTCCCTTCTGGGCCCTGGAGCCAGAGCTGGGCCTGGGGCAGCCAGCTGCAGCTTGGGAGGGATGGAGATCCCAGACTCTGATCCCCAGGCAGGGATCGCAGGTGATGACCCCGTAGGGCTGCCACTCTTGCCTTAGCAGGGACCTTGCTCTTGGGGCTGGAGGTGTAAACAGTGGCCTCAGAGGCCCTGGGCTGTTGCCAAGGTGACTGGGCAGCCTGGGAGGCAGCTCCGTCCGGGTTTGGAGGCAACCAGCTGCAGCTTGGAGGAAGCTGGAGCCTGGGAGCCCAGCAGGAGGGGGAGGCAGTCCCCGGAGGGACAAGCAGCAGGCACGGTGGGCAGATTATATCAGTGGGCACCATGAGCGGCAGGAAGCGGAGCTTCACCTTTGGAGCCTATGGCGGGTAGGTGTGGGAGCGGTTGGGGGTTGGGACTAAGGGACTACCCGCTGGGCCTTTGGGTGCAGGTAGGAATGAGAAGGTCACAGCGAGCTTGAGAAATGTACAAGTTTGCTGCTAGGGGAGATCTGCATGGCAGCCAGCCTCCTTTCTCATCCCTCCAGGTTCTGGCCCAGGGGTAGGGAATAGGGATCAGGACAGCAGCCAAGAAAGTCTGTCAGGCTTACCACTCTCCCCACGAAGGCTATCGGGGCCAGCCCTTAAACCTGAGGGGCCTGCTGTCTCTCTAGGCTAGATAGAGATGGGGCACACATTGCCGTGCCCCAGAGAAGAAATCGGGTAGGAAGGTGCTGGCCAGATCTGGGTGTGGATTCTCTGTTCTGGGCAGACAGTCTGACATCACATTTGGCAGAGAAGACAAGGGAGTGAGCATCCCCGACTGAGCCTTGTCATTGCCCCAGGCATGTCTGTCTGGGCCGCCCTGGGCTTGGATGACCTGCCAAACTCAGAACCAGGGAAAGTGAGCTGGCCTCTTAAGTGGCTGTAGAGGGGAGGGCTGGACTGTACCTGACATGAGCGTCCTGCCGGGCATTATGGCAGAGTCCTAGCCAGACTCAAGGAACCCTTCAGGGTACAGCATGGTGTAAGGGAAGGAGCCCCAGATTTGGCATCACTAATGTGATACTCGTGTTAGCACTAGTGTGACCTTGGAGTTGGGTATCAGTTCCTTTGGGTCTCTTCCAGCTCTAAATCCTCTGATGCTTTTCAGAAACCCTCTCCTAGCTGATCCTAGAAGAGCTTGGGACTCGGGTTCCAATTCGGGCTCTGATGTTTACTAGCTGGGTTACCTTAGGCAAGGTAACCTTTCACTATGCTAAGCTGTTGAGGACTTGACAAAAACAAGATTTACCTGCCTCTCTGGGAGCTTACATTCTAGTGAGTGGAAAGAACCTTACAAATTATCTAGCCCAGCCTCCCTTGTTGTACCGCACCAGAGCAAAGGCAATATTTTGCCAACAGTTAAACATCAAATATTAGACGAGCAAATAGCACTTCCTTAAAAGTGACCGAGTTCCCACTGCCCCAGGTTCCCAGGGCTTGTGAAAACCTTTGCAGAAGGGCAAGGAGCCATCCTCCTGTCCTCCCCCTCAGAAATGAAAACAACAAATATCGAAGGGAAAAAAAGAGAAGTCTGGAGGATCCCAGCTCCTGCGCTTCCTGGTTTTGCCTCTGGGACCCAGTTTTATAGCAGATCCTGTGGTTTTGTGGTTCCTCCCTGTCACACTAAGCTTTGTGACCTTCGACAAATCATTCAACCCTTCCCAGCCCCATTTTCTTCATCAGGAAGATGAGAATACTAATGCCGTACAGCACCTCCCTCCCCGGGTTTGATGTGAGGCACACAGGGGAGAGAATGTGCAGAAAGTACTTGGCAAAGTGTAGGATTATATAAATGGCAGTTAGTATTTTTCTTGTATTTGTGATTTAAGGAAGTCATTTGAGGAAGGAGAAAGCAGCAAAAACTGCGGGGATCAGGGAAGTCTTTCCATGATGTTGGCACCTGAACCTAGCCACGGAAAATGGAAGTGTTCTGAGAGGCAGAGAGGAGGAAGCCGCAGTGCCTTGCAGGCAGGGTGAGGGGTAGGGGGTGGGGGGAATGCCTTGGACAGAGGTGTGAAATGGAATGTTGAGTTAAAGGAAAAACTTATAGTCCGCCTTGGCCAGAAGGCAGAGCTTGAGGAGGTACAGGGCAATAAAGCTGGGGCTCCTAGCCTGAGCCAGGTGGGAGAAGGCCTTAAAATGCCAATTTGTGTTTTATGCTGGGAGCCACTGATGATTTTTGAGTACTGGAGTGACACGTTTTAGACCAGGGGTGGGGAACCTGTGGCCTCGAGGCCACATGTGGTCCTCTAGGTCCTCAGGCGCAGCTTTTTTGACCGAGTCCAAGTTTTACAGAACAAACCCTTTTCTTAAGGGGATTTGTTCTGTGAAGTTTGGATTCAGTCAAAGGGCCGCACTTGAGGACCTAGAGGACCACATCCTTGAGGCCACAGGTCTCCCACCCCTGGTTTAGACTCTTGCATTGGGAAGATGTGTGGAGAATGTATTAGAAAGTGGAGAGGCTTGGAGCAGCTAGGTGCCACAGTGAATAGAACACCAGTCTGGGAGTCAGGAGGACTTGAATTCAGATATGGCCTCAGACACTTACTAGCTCTGTGACTTAAGTCACTTAACCCTGATTTCTTTTTCTCCCCCTGTCCCCCCTCCCCCAATTTGGAGAAGCTGGAAGCAGGGAGAGAAATTAGGGATTTATTATGATAGACCAGGCAAGAAGGGAGAAAGAGTGCCTGGATTAAATGGTGAACATCTAAGTGGAGTGATCTAAGGGAACTTAAATGAGAATTAACCAGACTTCACAATTGATTGGATATGGGAGGTGAGAGGGAGAGACGAGTCAAAGATGATTCCAGGGTTAGCATGGTAAGAATGGTGATTCTCTCAATAGGGAGGACCTGAAATTGGCTTTTCAGCTGTGTTCTGAGGTCTGTTCTTTGGGCCTGCATTCTAGGCTGCTGACTATGTTCCCATCTGGTCCTCTCCTTAATGTGCGTAATTGGGGTGGGATGTCCATACCAGGCAGAGGCGGGACTCAGGCACTCCACTATCATCATGCTGTCTCTGGGGCTGGGTGACTGGATCGAGGAATGGGTCCCCCCCACAGAAATGCCACAGGTGGGCCCGATGCCAACAGTTGGGTGGGCATGAGGGAGGCAGGACTGACGAGGATGCTCCTAAGTTTCTGTCCCTTCTGTGTAGTGATCTTTGCTGGGCCTCCACCTCAACATTCCCCACCACTCCCCAAGCCACCCACTCATTCTAAGACTCTTGAATGTTAAGCTCAGGGAATCTTCATTAGGGGGCCTTGGGAGAACAATTATTGAACACATAGAAACTGGATGACTCCCTCTCAGAGAGGTTATAACCATCTCAGGTAGTAGGTTGTAGGGGAGGTAACCTCGGGGGTGTCCTTTAACTCCCAATAGTCTATGATCCTATGCCATGGAAAAGATTGTTGACCTGGGAATTGGCAGATCTGGGTTTGTCCCCCCTCAGCTTTATCACTAATTAGCCCTGTGACCTTGAGCAAAGTCCTTCACTTTCCTAAGCCTCAGTTTCTTCATCTGTAAAACAAAGGGATTCTCTGTGGTCTCTTCAAGCTCTGACATGCTATATTCCTAAGTTCTTTTCCAGCTCTGACATTCCATGTTCCCCAGATCTCTCTCCTCCAGCCCTGATATTCTATGTTCCCCAGATCTCTCTCCTCCAGCCCTGACATTCTTTGGTCCCCAGATCTCTCTCCTCCAGCCCTGACATTCTTTGGTCCCCAGATCTCTCTCCTCCAGCCCTGACATTCTTTGGTCCCCAGATCTCTCTCTTCCAGCTCTGATTTTCTAAGACTCGGTGATTCTCTTTTTGCCTTCATTCCCCATTTGAACAGGGAGGGGGTGAGGAAAAGGAGGGGGTATATTCTTACATTTAGGCTCACCAAAAACCTCTGGAGAATCATTGGGGAGGGAGGAAAATGCTTCTGGAGTTATTTTTTTTTGTAATGTGAATAACCACCTCTTGGTCTGTCTTGTTTTGTAAATCCCTATTTTCACGCGTCAGGTTTTCTTAAAGTGTGGCACATAGAGCAGGGTGAGGGGAAGCGGGAGTATAGTGGGAAAAACAGTTTTCTAGGAGTTAGGAGATTTGGTCTGGAGTCCTGGTTCTGTGTGACCTGGGGCAGGCTCCTTCCCTCTCTAGACCTCAGTTTCTCTCTTTGTCAAACAGGGAGGGTGGGGCTTGGACTGATTGCTCTTGGAGGTCCTTTCCAGCTCTGAGTGTTCTGGTCATATGATTATGTGGCTCTGGCATTCCTCCTTCCCTCCCAGTCTCATGAGGTGGAATGCCACCCACCCCCTGCGCTCCTTCTGCCCTCTGGGCTGGGGGTGGTGGTGGCAGAGAAGGAGGGGCTGTTTGTTTTCACAACAGAGGAGTTTTACAAACTGCCCCCTTCCCCACCCTGCCTCAGACTAGGCCAGAGAGCATGAACCAAGACCTCAGCTAGCTGGGGCCAGCTCCCCCTTCCTCGAAGCTGGACAGCGGCCAGATTTGAGCATGGAAGTGCCCCCTATTCTGAGTGTTGATCAGGCTCAAAAAACATTGCTGGGGAATTAGAAAGGACAAAGCCCCATGTCCTTGTCCATCTCCCCTGGGGACTCTGGGAAGAGGTGAGCCTGAGACCTCTATCCCAGTGGTGTCTGTCCTGTCCTAGGGCCTGTGGACAAGTCTTATAATGGCTTAGTGGAATTGGAAACAGAGGATGTGGGTTCAGATTCAGCTTTTACTATGTGCTTTTGGTCAAGGTATTTTACCTCTCTGGGTCTTTTCTGTAAAGTGAGGCCACATGGCTCTGTCCTCCTCCAGTCCCTTTGGCCATTGAGCCTGTCCTTTCCCCTCTGCTGTGGGAAGAAGGCATCTCTGGGATCCTGAGGGGCTTGTGTGTGGAAGGAAGGATTGCTGCCAGTTTCACCTTCCCTCTTCCCCCACTTGCTGTGTTTCAGGTTGGACAAGTCCTTTGTGTGCAACCAGAACCCGTGGTGAGTACCTACCCCAAAGGCTAGCCTCAAGGGGCCTCTGCTCCTCACTCTCTTTTTCTTAGCATTTCATTTTTATTGAATTGTTTTGAATTTTTTTTTAAGGCAATTGGGGTTAAGTGACTTGCCCAAAGTCACACAGCTAGTAAGTGTCTGAGGCCAGATTTGAACTCTGGTCCTCCTGAGTCCAGGGCTTGATGCTCTATCCACTGAGTCACCTAGCTGCCCCAACATTCGTTTTTTTAAATAAAATTTTGAGTTCCAAATTTTCTCCTTGCCACCCTCATCTCCCCCCTCTCTAAGACAGTAAGCTACTTGATATCGGTTGTATATGTGCAGTCATGTAAAACCTATTTCCGTATTAGTCATGTTGTGAAAGAAGAGATAGTTTGCAAAAAAAAAATGTTACAGTTTGCAAAAAGAAAAAAACATGAAAAAATAAAGAAAATGAAAATAGTCTTCAATCTGCATTCAAACTCCATCAGTTCTTTTTATGGAGGTGGATAGCATTTTTAATCCTGAGTCTTTGGAATTGTCTTAAATCATTGTATTGCTAAGAAGAACTAGTTGTACATAGTTGATCATCACATAACGCTGCTGTTACTGTGTACAATGTTCTCCTGGTTCTGCTCATTTCACTTTGCATCAGTTCATGTAAGTCTTTCCAGGTTTTTCTAAAATCCACCTGCTCATCATTTCTAATAGCCCAATAGTATTCCATTACATTCATATACCACAACTTGTTCAGCCATTCCCCAGTTGATGGGCATCCTCTCAATTTCCAATTCTTTGCCACCACAAAAAGAGCTGCTACAAATATTTTTGTACATATGGGTCCTTTTCCCTTTTTCTTTTTTTTCCTCTTTGGGATGCAGACATAAAAGTGATATTGATGGATTAAGGCGTATACACAGTTTGGTTGCCCTTTGGGCATAGTTCCAAATTGCTCTCCAGAATGGTTGGATCAGTTCACAACTCCACCAGCAGTGCATTAGTGTCCCAATTTTCCCATATCCCTTCCAGCATTTATCGCTTTCCTTGTCTGTCATATTAGCTAATCTGATAGGTGTGAGGTGGTACCTCAGAGTTGTTTTAATCTTCATTTCTCTAATTAATAGTGATTTAGATCATTTTTTCATAGGACTATGGATAGTTTTAATTTCTTCATCTGAAAACTGCCTGTTCATATCCTTTGACCATTTATCAATTGAGGAATGACTTGCATTATTATAAATTTGACTCAGTTCTCTATATATTTGAGAAATGGGGGCTTTATCAGAAATACTTTCTATAAAAATTGTTTCCCAGTTTTCTGCTTTCCTTCTCATCTTGGTTGCATTGGTTTTGTTTGTACAAAAACTTTTAAATTTAATGTAATCAAAATTATCTATTTTACATCTTGTAATGCTCTCTATCTCTTTTTTGGTTATAAATTCTTCCCTTCTCCATAGATCTGACAGGCAGACTATTCTATGTTCTCCTGATTTGCTTATGTAATATCACCTTTTATGTCTAAGTCATGTATGCATTTTGACCTTATCTTGGTATACAGTATAAGGTGTTGGTCTATGCCTAGTTTCTGGCACACTGATTTCCAGTTTTCTCAGCAGTTTTTGTCAAATAGTGAGTTCTTGTCCCAGAAGCTGCTGTTTCTCAATCTTGAGGAAGCTCTACAATGAGCTGGAGGTCCTTGCCCTAGGAAGTTTTGTCAATAGGATGTATGCCTCACACCAAGCTCCAGTTTTATGCAAGAATGCCTATCAAATGATGATACTGGACTCAGTGATCTTTAAGGATGTTTCTAGCTTTAATATTCTTTTCTAAGGGCCCTCCCAGCTCTGACATCCTGTGTTCTAAGGGCCCTCCCAGCTGGATCCTTCTGTGTTCTAAGTTTCTTCTCAGCTCTGACATTCTGTATTCTAAGGACCTTCCTGCTCTGACATTCTATACTCTAAGAATGCCCTGTCATTCTAAATTCCCATATCTCTTTCCAGCTCCATAATCCTATGAGAGACAAAAATGAAATTTCAGTAATTTTGCTTCTCTAATATGATGTAGTGAACAGAATATTGGATTTGGAGTCAGAGCACTTTGGGTTTAAAATCCCGTCTATTAATTACAGTGCTTGTGATTTTAGACAAATTACTTCTCCGCTTTTGACCTCAGCTTCATCTTTTGTAAAATGACAGGGTTGGACTAAATGACCTTTAAGGTCTGTTTTAGGTCTAAGCCCCATTGAAGGACCTGATCCCTATGACTATGCGCCCTACAGATACAAAGGACAGGTGCAAAGGGCTGCCCAAAGGAGCAGAGACCTCCCCTCCCCAGCCTGTCGTCCCTGGATACAGAAAAGCCCAGGAAGAGAAAAAGGAAAGGGGGATTCCCTCCGGGCAAACCCGCCTTTGGTGAAGCAGGGGCAGGATTTTCAGCGGCAGTCTAATCTTACTTATTTACTTGCTTTGCCTGTCTTATTTCTGTCCTGATGTTGTCAGGTAAAAAACTCTTTTTTAGCCCAAAGATTACAGAAGGACCATGTGGGGACTGGTGGCTGCATTTTCTGTGGAGCACAGACTTGCTCTTGGAGGATGTCAAGCCCCCATCGGGCAGACCTAGGAGAGATGGTTGGGAGTTATCAAAAGTTAGATCGCTTAAGGAAAAACATTCTACCAATGAGAACTCTCCCAAAGTGGGATGGGTTAAAGATCATAATCATAATTCACATTTCTGTCTTGTTCTAAAATATATAAAGTACTTTCCTCACAATGTATCTGTGGGTTCAAGTGTTGTGATTCCCATTTTGTAGCTGAGGAAACTGAGGCTTGGAGAGATGAGGCTACTTGCCCATGGGTACACAGCTAGCAATCAATTGTGTCTGAACCATGATCTGAACCCAGTAAGCCTCAACTTCTTCCTGATTGTCCCTCCCTGCTGTTAGAGGTTGAGCGTTTCCTATCACTTGAAGACTTCTAGAGATAGCCTGATGGCTGCTTGTGAGGGATGTTGTAGAAGAGCTTCCTGTCTAGGAATGGATTGGATTAGATGGCCTTTGAGGTCTGTCTCAGCTGGGTAGCTGTGTGAGCCCTCTGGAGAATGCAGGTCAGGGCTTTTAAAGGTAAAAGATTAGTAATTCAATGAGCGGGGCACTTTTTGGGAGGCCACTCTTCCAAATGACCATTTGGGCTCTAATCCTCATGTTCTGCTGGTCCCAGATCTCTCTTCCCCTACACCCACAGTCCTCAGTGCCCCATCTAGTTCCTCACCCTTCCCCCAACGCATCCCCACTCCTCTGCACCCCCTCTTCCTCCTCTACTCCCTGTTCCTCTAGCTCCCAGTCTCTCCTCCCCCATTTCTCTTCCCTCATTACTTCCTTTCTTTGCCAAGACCCTAGGACCCCCTGAAGTCTCCACCTCCCACTCTTTCTCTTCCCAGCCCTGCCCCATCCTTCCAAGCCCATTCTGATCATCCGCCATCTCCCTCCCCTCCGCCATATTGTCCTCCATGCTCCCACCTCCAAAGCCCTTCTCTGTCCTGTCCTCTCAATTCAGCTGCAGTAGTCAAATGGTCTTATCCTGCCTACAGCACTCTGCTCTCCATCCCCCCCCACTCCTTTGAGGAGATGGTTTCCATCCCTAGGAGGAGGGGAGATTAGTGGCATCAGCAAGGTGACAGCCCAGGAGCTTCCGCAACACATGGGGTGGGAGGTATCTCCACACTTCCCGGGGATTTGCAGTAAACAGATGCCCTGGCAGGCAGGCGCCTTTCTGGCTTCCCTAACACCAATGCCATGTGACCAACGTGTCCTGGCTGTTGCTGCCATCACTTCGGCTCTGGTAGGATGTCCTTGCATAATTCCTGAGGCACCTTCTTCCCACTCAACTCAAGGTCTTCTCAAGATCCTAAGGCCTCCACTGACAAGCAAATTAAGTCAATAAACATTTATTAAGTGCTTACTGTGTGCCAGGCACTGTGTTAAGGGCTGGGAATACAAATGTAAGCAAAGAAAAAAAAAACCCAAACCAAATAGTCCCAGCTCTCAAGAAGCTTACATTCTAATTGGGGAAGACAATGCACAAAAGAAAGATGAAAAGCAAAGGGAGGAAAGAGAAGGTATCGCAGTGATGGGAGAGAAAGAAGTCTGGAGAGTCAAGAGTGAAGTCCAGAGAGAGCAACAAAGAAGTAGCCACACGTGGTCTGGGCACTTTCTGTAAAATGAGGGTTCCCAAAGGAACTGACCAATCAGAAGATGGGGCCCCAGGGGAGGAGGGGTCTTCCAGAGTGAGAAGGCTGCTGAATCAAGGTAAAGAAATCAATCTTCAAAGTCAGGAAGAGAGAGCCCAGAGAGGAAGCCACTCTGCCTGCTCTATGCTAGGGCTCTAGTAGCTGGCATTTCACCAAAGGGTCTAAGGTCCCAGTCCCTTATATCACTGGCAGGTATAGTAAGTTTTTCAGCAGATCTCCTCTGATGTTGGAGAGAGGGCTGGGCTTGGAGTTGGAGGAAGACCTGGGTTCGAATCTAGTTTTAGACCCTTACTAGCCACGTGACTCTAGGCAAGTCACTCAGCCTCCAAGCCTCAGTTTCCTTGTTGGAACAGATTAGACTCGATGGCCTCTAAAATCCCTTCCAGACTAAAATCTATAATCCTTGGAACTTCCTGTGTGATATTGGGTAATTTCCTTCTACTCTCTGGACCTCTCCTATCGCCTTGCCAAGTCATCGATCTGATATTTATTGAGCACCTATTAAAGTCAGAGGTGCTAGGTGGTGCCAAGTGCTTAGAGCACTGGGCTTGGAATCAGGAATACTCATCGTCATGAGTTCAAATCCAGCCTCAGACACTTACTATCTGTGTGACCCTGGGCAAGTCACTTAACCCTGTTTGCCTCAGTTTACTCATCTGTAAAATTAGCTAGAGAAGGAAATGACAAACCACTCCAGTATCTCTGCCAAAAAAATCCCAAATGGGGGTTATGAAGAATCAGACATGACTGAAACTATTGAACAG